CAGAAGCATCACAGAATGCATGAATTTCTAGTTCAATGCTTTGTGTTTTCAATACATATCTAGGTATTTTTAGTTATTGGATTAGAGAAAGTTCTTTGCGAAAAGATATCCATCTCTTTGTCATGTCTTCTGGGATGGATTGATCCCAAGTTAAGTTCCTTTTTTTTTTTTCCTCAGTTCCTGAAGAAAGGTTTTCAGAAATATCACACAAGGAGATATGAAACCCAGGGGATCGAAAACAAATGAAACTTCTGACAAAATTTCTCTTTTTGAAAATGTCAATTTGTCTTCAATTGGTGGAACTACGGAATGAAAACAGTCATCTTTTGTATTCCATTTAATACCAAGGACATTAACTTCTTCATCTGAATCTTTGTGCATCAGATCTTTTTCTTTTTCACATGGTGGTATAATTTTGTATTTTCAATACATATCTAGGTATTTTTAGTTATTGGATTAGAGAAAGTTCTTTGCGAAAGGATATCCATCTCTTTGTCATGTCTTCTGGGATGGATTGATCCCAAGTTAAGTTGTTTCTTTTCCTCGGTTCCTGAAGAAAGGTTTTCATAAATATCACACAAGGACCAACTTCTTTAAATATTCACGAAACATTAGAATGCCATTTTCGAAGGTTGAATCCACCTCTCTTCATCATTTTCTTCTTTGTTAACTTCATCTGAATCTTCGTGCATCAGATCTTTTTCTTCCTCACTTGGTGGTTCTTTAAATATTTATGGAACATTAGAATGCCATTTTTGAAGGTTGATTCCACCTCTTTTCATCATATTCTTTAATTCATTCACTAGGTCTAGAGCTTCTTGCTCTGATGAAGCACTCAGAAGATCATCAACATAGAAATCATTAAGGGTTTTTCTCATCTAAAGCCAATTGCTGCATAGCTCTTGTAGACAAGAATGGTGTTGATGTTGTGCCATAGCTGACTGTGAGTAATCTGTATTCTCAAACTGGCTCTTCAGGACATTCTGTCTAAAGAACTCTTTGCCAATCAGTATCTTCAGAATTAACCTTGACTTGTCTAAAAATTTTTCTATATTGGCACTCGCCGCGATTTGAAAACTTCTGAAACAAATATGGATAGTGAATAACTCATCCTGCATTAAAAGATCATTCAAAGATTGTCCAGATGATGATTTGGAAGAACCATTGAAGATAACCTTCAGCCTTGTTGTAGTGCTCAAATCACTAAGAACAGCAAAATAAGGAAGGTAGTATGCATTTGTTTTTGTAGACTCAGATTGTGGAATCAGTTCCATATGTCCTAATAATAGATATTCAGGCATAAAATCTTTATGTTCATATTTTTCACTGTTGAAAGATAAGGAATTCTCCAAGTATTTCAGTCTGCAGTCAGTCTTGGAATCCCCAAGTTGAGAAGGTGAGGTATGGAAGGGCACCTCACTACATACAGTGAGGCAAAAAATTGGAAACCCCTTTGTGAAATGCATTTTGAAAAGAAAGATGATTTAAGAATATGTCGGTGGCGCTGGCATTTTTGATATGACGCCCCGAACAACTTCGTAAATGTGCAACATTTCAGTTGTTGTCGGGTACTGTTGTTGAGGTGTCATTGCTTTATGTCAGAGTAACAGACTTCGAACGTGGGCAAGTGCTGGAGCACGTATGTAGGTGCTTTGTAAGCAAGTAGCCGAGGGTTTAGTGTTTCAGAGGTACTGTATCAAGATATTCCGCATATTGAAAGGGAAAAACTCATGCTAATCCAGCGCGGACGAAATTGTGTCCGGAGTCAATGACAACGATCATAGGGCAATTGGACGAAAATAAGAAGACACAGGGCAAAGTTACTGCTGAAAGATGTTTGTGTACCCGACCTTGAGACCAAAACAATTAGAAGGAGCTTCATAAACAGGAATGTGGCCGTGCTGCCATTGAGAAGCCCATCATCAGGGGCTGTCTCGTTAACAGGAAAAGGTGTGTTTAAGTCAGAGGCTGGCTATAGAGCAGTGGAAGCCGTAATATGGTCTGACGATTTCTTCACTTGTTTCCCCTTCTGGCCGAGTTTACATCTGAGAACGCATCTCAAGCCTATAATACAGACTTCTTGTTGCCAAGAGTGAAATGCGGGGTCGTTATGGTTTGGGCAGCCATATCGGGTTCTCTGCTAGCCCCATGTAACTGGCAGGCACATGATGCCAAATTATGTGACATTTGGCCATCAGTTCATCCATGGTACACTTTGTTCCCGATGGTGATGGTGCTTCCGAGACGACAAACCCTGTTCCGACATCGCACATTGTCCATGACTGTTTTCTGATTACGAGGATGAGTTGTCCCATCTCCCTGGCCACCACAGTCACCAACCTGAATATTATCAACCTTTGTGGTCACATGGAACGGAAAGTGCATTCTCGTTATCCACCGCCAACATCGTTATCTGAACTGCCACCGTTTTGCAGGAGAATGGTATAATATTCCCTTGGCAAACATACAGGAACTTTATTATCCATTCCGAAGACGCTGTTTTTGGATGCCCAACGGGTTTCCTACTCATATTCAGCAAAGAAACATGTTTTTTTAAAGGTGTTTCCATATTTTTGTCCAACCCCTGTATCTTCCATCAGTATCTCTAGAATGCATAGATTTAAAGTGCTCTTCACAAGTTTTCTCATCACGAGTTAAGGAGCTTATTGCAGATACCTTGTCTAGTTCCCAAAATTTATTTAACAATTTATCACTGATTATGTTGAATGTTATTAACCTGAACAACTAAATTTTTCTCACATGAAGAAACCCTGCTTGCAGTTAGCCATCCTAATTGAGACCAAACAGCAAACAGCTTTCTGTCTCCCAGTGAAAGTGTCTGACCTTTAAGCATTGAAAGTACTATATCCACACCAAGAAGAATATAAAGTTTTGTAAAAGGTTGGATCCACTAAGGTAAGATCAGTAAACTGTTCTGAAGTAGAAAAATCCAAATTAACATGCAGAAGCTGACCCATTATTTTCTTGACAACGTAGGCAGATGTACCAAAAAGGATGTAATTAAACCTAATTTGAGAAACACCTTTTGTATGAGTGTTTGATCTACCCAAACATGAAATTATCACATTTGTTTTCTTTTTTGACAAACTCAAACTTTTTAGACAATTGCTTTTCATTAAAGAAGCTTGGCTGCCTGAATCCAAAAGAGTATGACAAGTAGAAATTCTGTTGGAGGAATTTGTTACATTCACTAGAGCCGTGCATAGAGCACCTGAATATCAGTTCCCAAATCTGAGAAACAAGGAGTAATGGAATTTGAAATAATTTCACAATTTGCATTAAAGTCACTAGTAGTAATTTTAAATTTGGAAGGTGCAAATACTCTAGCATCCACAGAAAAACCTCTTGGATTAATTGTGCTCCTTGTTGGAGGATCAGTATTGCCTTCAGTGGTGTCGTCAAAATGCAATAATGTGATGGGTTCTCTTACATTTGTGGTATCTATAAGAACTCTGCTGGTTGATTTAAGGTGAAATTATATTAAACAAATGAAGCAAATATTTTTCAATTTTACAAAACGTAAGTCTTTTTTTTTTTTTTTTTTTTAGACAGCTTGAGAAATGCATCACATTTAGTCAATGCATGACTTCCATGGCAGTAAACACACTGTGATTGAAAACCCAAAACACCTAGTGTAACCCGCTTAGAAAAGGGCTTTTTGAATCTGTATTGTTAGTAATTAACAATCTAGCATGTTTTGAAAGAAACTGCAATAATTCACTCAGGGAAGGAATTTTATCATCTGTAATTGACCTCTCCCATAAGCCTCTTGTACCTATATCTATTTAATTCTAAGTTAAATCTATTTCTTCTAACATTTAAGCTAGAAAGATCCAATTGATTTATTTCATCGAGGGTTTTGTTCTTTAAACGTGTGATTGAAGATTTAAGTGCTCTCCTTTTTTTTAAAAGTTTTGGAACTCTTTATTATGAATATAGAATAAACTCAAAAACACGAAATTGCATTAAATGAATAATGAATGTAAGCCAATTAAATGCATGAAATCATATAAAATGAATTATGAGATATAAATCAATTACATGCACAAATAGCATTAATGAAATTATGAACTCACCACAACTTGAAAAATTCACAGTAGAAAACTAGCTCACTACAAGTTGAAAGGAATCACATTAGAATGTGAACTCGCCATACCTTGAAAGAATCACAGTAGAATTTAATCAAGCGAAACGGAACTAAGTGAAATTTGTTGAATAACACCACATAATAAATTGAAAATTCACACATGCATAGGTTCTCCTGCTCTGACAAACCAATAAATAATGTAGAACTTTTGTCATCAAGTAAAACTTCAAGTGGACTGCATTCATGGAAACATATTTATTGAATAATGAAAGAACAGTGAAAACTAAAAGATTATCACCAAGGCAATGGACGATCACCAAAGCAACAAACGATCTTTTTCTATTCTCGCATATAGCTCAAGCAAATTAATTTGCATCTACCTGTGGTTGCCATCTAGTTTTGAAAATGTGGCCTAAACAGGTAATAAAGAGTTTAAAATGGATATATCAAGCATTTTATAGCTTTGCCATCCTATCACATTCTGACAGTTATATTTTTAATATAAATATGTATGTATACACACACATACATATATATATATATATATTCTTTTTCAAGAAACAAATGGTTCGGGCCTTCATAGAAAAGAAATTGTAATTTTTCATTTAAGCTCCCACGTTTCCTATTCTTTTAGTAATTGTATGTGTATATATATAGAGAGAGAAATTAGTAAAGTAGACAAAGGTGCATTTTATAAAAATTATGAAAGAACTAACAAGTTAAGTTTTAGTCATGTATATATATGAGTGTGTTAAGGCTTTTTCTGAAATAAAAGCCATGATCACACTGTAATTGTTTAATGTCATGTTGCCTAATTGAAATTATAATAAAAATTTTTTTAATGATATGGCTTACTTTCTGCTTTCATATAATTTTCCTGATGCACCTGCAGCAATTAACAATACTGATACCATATGTCCATTCTGCCAGAGAACAGTTGAAGCAAGTGGTTATCCTCGTCACTATAAAAAGTGTTCTGGAGTGGGAAGACAAAGTTCTAGGCGTGCAACGAAATCGTAAGTGATTTTCTTTTATTTATTATGATGTGTATTTTATGCAAACTTTCTTTTGCTGGCAAATGTAGTTTCTATGCATTTATGAATGAGAAATTTGATAAATTTTGCTCTTTGTAATACATGAACAATTAAAAAAAAAAAAAAAAACTGTTGACACTTTTGGCCTTGAATAAGTGCTTTAAAAGCATTTTATTAGTTCATATATATATATATATCAAAATGAAAATGTCAAAACGAAAAGAAATACAATTTTGTTCCAGAAATATGAAGGTCTAGCCGTTTCTCTCCTGTTAAAAGTTACCAAATTGAATAAACGCAAATTAAGGAAACTTTCAGAAACAGAATCGTTAAATGAAAATTTTGTAAAATTGCAGAACATTTTGCTATCTGACGTATCTAAAATTTTTCACCTCTTCTGCTGCTGCACCAGTTGCCCAGGCTCTGATTGCAGTGTTATATTTCTTTTAATCTGTTGATATTTTTTGTATTCCTAATTTTCACTCATCATGTGCATCTGACTTTTTCTTCATGAAAGCTTTAGCCAAACAAAAAGTTGTACAATGATCCACTGCTTGATCACTACAAATTTGAGGCAATAATGTGAAATTTTTTCTCCTGTAATCATTTATTTTTAAAGTCTGAGTATCCTCTGTTTTACAGACTCCATTTCAAACTCTATTTGAGATTTATTTTCTGTGTACAGGTTAGGTAATCCAATGGAAAGTTGTACTAAGTAACCATTAGGCTGACAATAATTTATTTTAAAATTTCTTTAGATTTATGTTACTTCAAAATTCAAGATGAAACAGTAAGTCATTTGATCGCCTTCATGAATCCAACTGTTTGAATATGGTGAATCAGTGCACCCATTTAGCAAGAGCTTAGGAACTAAACTATTGTGCAGACGTCTGCCATGTTACGAAAGGCCTCCACACTGAACATGTGTGCATGTCCATAGAAATGTGAAGAGTTACATGTTCATGTTATTTTTGAATTTGTGAAGTAAATAATTATAGTAGTGACAGGTATGTTTTCTTTCTGTAACATTAGTTTTGATCTGTGATTCATTTGAAATACAGCTCAAAATTAAACAGCTAGGTTGAAGAGTTTGGCTGGTAAACAGATGGAATATATGCTCGGCGAAGCATTTATATAGCCCGGCAGGAACTACTAGATATATTAGCAATAGTTTATATACGTCCAGAATTATCACAATGATTCAAGAGGTGGTTTGGAGAATTTTCAGTGATGTGCATGAACTTTGTTATCTATGTCCACAATTATCAGGACAATTCGAGGCATAATTTTAAGAATTTTTAATTATGCGCTTGAACTTTGTTATCTATGTCCCAGATTATCGGGATGATTCGAGAGATAATTTTGAGAATTTTCAGTGTTGCCCATGAACTTTGTTATCTATGTCCAAAATTATCAGGACAATTTGAGAGATAGTTTCAAAAAATTTCAATGATGTGCAGTGTACTGATTACTAAAAAATTTTGGCAGATTCCGTTGGATGCCATGTTGAAATACTATATCAGTCAGGGCCATCATCACAGATACTGATTATTCAAATACAAAAAATTGCAATCATATTCTTTTTTTAGTGAATTCTCCTCTACTGGGCAACAGTAAAAGTAGTTATTCCAAAGTTTAGGGGAAAATATTTAAAGATTTTGTAGGTTATGATCCAAAGATATGAATGAACTCAGTGTGTTGGTCCTTATGTTAATTGTGTGGAGAAACAAAATTACGTTTTATGCCTAAAGCCTGAACAAGTTAATAGCTTATTTTTAAATAAATATTTTTTTCTCAAATAAGTTTCTTGTAATATATATATTATTTACTATATATATTGTAATGTATTTTGTGGTAATTTACAAAGAGACAATCTTCTTAATAGAACATAAATTTTATTTCTTGTTCCGTGATAGACAAATTTTATACAATTCTTAGTGGCAAAATTTTTATACTACTCTAGCTGGTAAAATCTACAGAATTCTAATCTTTTAAAATGATATCTCACGTTGCTGCAGTAACGGTTTAATACAAATATGGCATTGCCACCTCAACAATATTATATTTAATTTATTAATAAAAATATTACAACCTCTCCCCCTCCAGATAAACTTTAATTTATAAAAATAATAAATTTACTTTTTTTTTTTTTTTTTTTTTTTTTTTTTCAACAACATATCAGCACAATACAGAATTGAAATACAAATATAACATAATAAGATACACTGAGGAAGAGAGGAAGGAACAAAATATTTTTTATCTATATAGAGAAACAAATTATTTAATCAGGCCAGGGAGTACGACTTAATGCGTCTACACTTTTATGGTTTCTACCACTTCGATGAACGATCGTGTAATTGTAGGGTTGTAGTACTAGTGCCCATCTCATAAATTGTGGATTTAGACTCACATTATTTTTGAACCAAACTAAGGGATTATGATCGGTCATGATGAGGAATTTAGTATGCCCGTCTAAATAACATTGAAGTTTCTTTACAGCAAATATTATGGCGGCGCATTCCTTTTCTGTGGTAGAGTACTTTTTTTCAGTTTCTGTAAACTTCTTACTGAGGTATAATACTGGATGTTCATTGTCTCGTTCATCTTTTTGAGCTAAAATGACACCCATACCAGAGTCTGAAACATCAATTTGCAAAATAAACTCCTTATTGAAATCAGGTGATTGTGACAGAGGCTTTTGTGGCTGTTTTGCTTCTTCAACAACTAGCTCTTGTCTGTTTAATTTCTTTAAAAACTTCTCCTTGACTTGCATCTCAACTCCTAGAACTTGGCAATTCATCTAGAGCTTTTAACTGAGAATCGTTTAATTTTGTCAGTTCTTTCTTGTCAGATAAGTTTTTGCTCTCTTGTGAGATGAACCTTTGTTCTTATCTGCTGCTTGCACTCTCATTGAATGTGGCAACTTTGAGTATCCTTTATCATGTTTGTGCCTCTTTGCTAAGTTTTCTGACGTGTGCGTAGATTCTGAACGTATTTTTAATTTCTTAGCTTTAGAAGCACCTTCATGAGTTCTTTTATCAGAAGTTCTTTGATCTGCTGTTAACAAACTGTCAAACACATCTTTGCTTTTTGGAGAAGAAGGAACTGGGGAACTTGTAGGAGAATACTCACACACACTATCCACAGAAGATGAATCAGCAGGTAAATAAGGTGAGTCAACTTCCATATCAATAACTTCAGTTTTCTCATCAGGAGATGAATGCTTAGATTGCGTGTCTGATTTCTGTGAAGCATTGACAGAGGCTTGACTCTTAGGAGGGTGCGTATTGACCAAATTATTCTGAGTTTTAGCACTATTATTTGTTTGGTTCTGCATCAAAGTTGTGAAGTTCTGCATTTGATCCCTATATTTTTCAGAAATAACAATTAATTCCCTTTCATTTCCAATTTTATTTATTTTCCTTTTCACCAACAATCCGTTTTCTTTTACTTTAAAATCATTTGTCTTGCTGGAATTTTCATTTTTAGCTTCGTTAAGCAATGGGACGCTAGATCTCTGCTTTGATGCTGAGATTCAATTAATTCCTTTGAATTAACATTAATTCACTTTCTTAATTTCCTTGTCTTCCTCCTCATCAGCTTGCGGTAAAAATATCTTCGTCAGTTTCAATAAACTTCAGTTCTTCTAGTTTCTCCATTTCGGCGTCTCTACTTCGATCTTCCTTCATGAGATCTTTTTACTTGAGATCGTGTCAAAACCGCATTTATCCTTTCTAAATTTAAGAATGGTTTATCTTTGAACAATTGAGCAGTTTTGTTACCCAATATGTATCTGCCATATCATTTGTAAAAACAGCTGCCTTTGTCTTTATATGACCTCATCTGTATAACAACAGCTGCCTTTGTCTTTATATGACCAAGTTCGCAATTAATTTCAACTTCCGCTAATGGTAGACACACTAAATGGTCATTTAAAAGATATTGTACCCAGACATGTTCTCCAGTCATTCTTGCGTTATCAATGTATTTTCGAGAAATAACATCAACGATGGCTCCTGTGTCTCGAAGAATAGGCATTTCATGCCCATTAACTAAACCGTTAATTGTATATGTCTCTAACAAATCATCATTCGAAGATACGCAATTTACCTTTTCATTTGGTTTTAAGCAAGGACACTGAGGCTTAAAATGTTCGTATGATCCACACTCGAAACAACGTGGTGGATATCTTTTGTCATATAAATTTTCTTGGTTCTTTTTTTGAAATTGACTTCTTTGTTGGTGATCTTTCTGGTATTTTGAATCGTCCCATTTATCAGAATACTTAAAATGAGGCGGATGCTCTATTTTTTTTCACAAAATTATCATAATGAGGTTTAAATAATCCTTTGTTAATTCTCTCAGTTTGATTGGACTGAAAATTTCGGTTTTATTGTTTTTCTCACATCTTCAAAATCTTCAATTTTCTTAACCTATCTCAGTATGGTGAAATGTTCATGGTCCAGTCCATTCACCATAAAATGTTCCTTTGAAATCAGGAGAAGGTACACTTTTTTATTTGGATCAAGCCAGCATGAGATCTTTTAGCTGTTCAAAAGTTTTAATGTTTAACTCCGTTAAGCCATCCTTCTAAATAATTATTTAATTCATAGTAAGAAATCATACCAAGTACTTTCAGTAGATTTTCGGTGTTTATTAAATTAGTTATTCGAAATGTTTCCGCACTCAATTTAAATCGTTGTAACAGTAAAGCTTTTACATATTCATACTTTTTTGCTTCCTCTTCTGGTTCTCTAGCAAGAAGCTGAACAATGTCAGGAGGCAGCAATGAAATAAGTTGAAGTCACTTGATTTTCAGCAGGTATATTCATTATTTTAGCTTGATTCTCAAATAACACCAGAAATAAACTTGATTTCTTCTTCTTCTTTAGGGTTGAAACGTGGCATGACATCATGAAGTCTGATTTTTAAAGGCTGCTCAGGTAACTGCGTAGTTTCTACCGGCTGTGCTGTTGCAGCCATTGCTTCCAACTGAAGTTTCTGATTTAGCTAAAAGTTGCTCAGGTAACTGTCGCTAGTTCTCTTTCACGGCTCTTCTTCTTGCAGCTCAATGCTTCCAATTGAAGTTCTTCTGTCTTTCTTCTCTTTCACGTTCTAATTTCTCTTTCTTCCTTTCGCGTTCTTTTTGCTCTTTCTTCTCTCTTTCGTTCTTTTTCTCTTTCTCTTTGTGCATTTTTCACTTTCTTTCTCTTTTGCATTTTCCCTTTCTTTCCCTTTCTTCTCTAATTGCAGCCAGTAGTTCTTGAGTAAACTCCTCATCATAACCGGGACTTTCAGTAATCAGTTTATGCAACTGAGCAATCTTAAATTCAGGTTTCACAGTTAAACCTAACTCTTCTGCTAGTACTTTTAAATCCTGTTTTTTACTCCTAGCTAAGAATGACATGTTGACACAAGTTACTTTTAATAGGTTTCCTTTTGAAATTCAATCTAAAAGCTCGTACTTGTATTAAAAATATATAATTTCTGGCGAGACTTAATTTCTCAAATACGAAATTCACACTAACCAATTGGAGAGAATTATTTAAACAACTTTGCCAGGTTGGCACAAAATACTATAATACTGCGTCGGGTTGACTTTTTAACTCACTATTCACAAGCTGCGTTAGCTATAACTATATAGACACCTTTGCCAGTTAGGCAATTACCCACGTCAATTTGACGATTTTACTATCTATCTCCATGCTTCGTTGGTCAAAAACAATTTTTGCCAGTTTGGCAATTCAACTTTTAGAATTGATATGTGGTACAATCAATTCTAAAAGTACAATACATATTCTACATAACTATCATTGAAATTAATTCCTAATCTACTGGAAACTTTGTGACTCTGTTTTGATAAAAGCATTAATTAATAACAAACTATGATAAAAAACATGAGTGTTTTTATTTTTGCCCATTATTAAATTTTCACTCCATTGTATAAGTTACTTAAAGTTAAAATTTATTATATTGTTTATCTCTGAAAAGAAAGATGTATTTTGAAAGAAATCTGAATCTCTGAAAAGAAAGATGTACATATGTGAAAAGAAAGATTCCCTGTAAGTGTGCAGCATTTCTGTGAAACTGATAATTACCTGGTTATGCACATCCCTTGTAAGTCAAAACATTTGCTTAAAAGTTAGTTATGCAAAGGAAGCTCTCATGTTTGGAGGAGGGGGTAAATATTTAGCATTGAATAAAGTAGTTCTAGAAAATATTACAAAGCATTAGGCATGTAATATTTCATTTGCAGTGCTAAAAGGGAAGCTTCTATCTTTCTTATGTTGTCTAAAACTTTCTAATTTGAAATGTTCTTATGTTTAGAGATCCAAATTATTTTGTTGATGATGACAGCGAGGAAAATGATAGTGATTCTAGCAGTACAAAGAGAAGTAAGTATTTTGAGGTTTAAAATTGCTTAGTTTTGTGTTTTGTTTCTTATAATCAACATATTTACATTACTACTTTATTCAAATACTACTTTATTTGTGTTAGTTTTACATACACAAACACATATATAAAATTATGTTTATTATACAAATAATATAAATTTTTTATATTTTTATAAAACGTATTAGTTTTTGCTACATTATAAAGCATATTTCCCTCCTCTTTTAAGTATCTAGTGTAGTCTTAATATTTCCAAGATTTTTCTGAATTTGTTTCTCTTTTATTTCTAGAAGCAAAACGAAAACAAGGAAAAAGTAACAATGCTCGAAGAGGCACTAAAATACACAGAAAAGATAGTAAGCTTTTCTTATAATATATGAAGCATGTAAAATTCCACCAGAAATTCAAATTTTCCATTTAAATGTAACTGACAGAAATTTTATTCTGTTCATAATTCGTATTAATGTTGTCGTATTACTCAATTCACTGATTATTCTAGTTGCTATAAAACACTGATACTTAATATTAAAGCTTTGTGAATGTCATTTAAGAAATCATTAGAATATTATTTGATGATGGAATCAATGTCAGTATTTAAATGAAGGTATAATAAATATAGGTATTTTAATCTATTTTCTTTAGGATGATGAAGTGTAGTAATAAGAATACCAAAAATAATTATCCAACTTTTTGCCTCCTTTTTACTTCCATCCAACATTTTGTTCTAATGTCTTTTTCTATGATAATAACCTTTGAGACCAAATTTGAGAAATAACTGACAAAATAAGCAAAATGATCATGGCCAAAATTTCCATTAGCATAATGGAATTTTTTTTGTTAGCGCAACAGCATATTAATTACTGAAAGTGTTATAAAAATCCAAAATATAAAATTATCTAATTTTCAGGAAAATTAGATAATTTCTACTTGAAGATTATGTAATGTTTCCCCTCAAAGCCCCTAACCAAGCAGATATAAATTTATTTATTCTTACTTACTTTTCTAATGTATTAATCCTTTGCCTAGTTTAAGTACTTTTTGCCCCGTTCTGAAATTCAGCCTGTTTGGAGGTTCAAATTGAGAAGAAATTATAAAGTTTAGTAATAAGAATACCAAACATAATTATGCAACTTTTTGCCTCCTTTTTATTTCCATCCAACATTTTGTTCTAATGCACATAAACTGTATAGAAATACAGCAAATTTCTTTAAACTGGACAATTTCTTTAAACTGGATAGTTGGGTCTTTGTTAAAGCCATATTATGTTGTTCTTTTTCTTCTTTATTTCATCACTTTGTTCATCAAATTTTTCAGAAATGAATCATTCTGAGTATGAAAAAAAACTATGTAAATTATTCCATTTGTTTGAAAGGTAATAAAAATTTGTGCTCACTCTGTCTTACTGTTCCATAAAGATGGATCTTTCATAGTTTATAATGATCTCTCTGTTATCAACAGTTAATTATGCTACTTTATGTATCAGTTATAAAATAACGGTTTTTGAATCAAATAAATAACAAATAAAAAATTTCTAGAATCTAAGAATAAACTAATTATTATTATTATTATTAATTATTTTTTTTTTTTTTTTTTTTTTGCAAAAATCATGAAAAGTTTCAATAATCCTAAAAGCCTTTTACATTATATTTTACATTTAAGAGATAATGATTTATGAAAATATAGAATATAAGACAGAAATATGCCACATCTAAAAGAATGCAAAATAGGAAATTCTATTGTTAAGGAAGCAGTGGTGTAACTAAAACTCTTAAGCCCCTATGCAAACAATTTTCTTGCCCCCTCCAAAAAAATCCAGTATTAAAAAAAAAAAAAAAAAAAAAAAAAAAAAAAAAAAAGAAAGAAAAAAAAAGAAAAAAGAAAGAAAACAGAAAACAAGAAAGAAAATTTGAAAGGTTTTAAATTTCAACGGTCAACCAAAAGGGTTTGTTAAAGTTTTTTACCCTGAGCACGCAGTCTACCAGTCTGCTGTTATACTCATTCCTGCTAACCGTAGCTTTCCCCCCTTTTTTCCTTTTGTATGTGTGTGTCTTTTTAGCTTTATTATTAAGCATCGTTTTCTTCGCAATTACGCCACATACAGTTCAACACCAAAATCACAATTTTTTTTTTTTTTTAAAGCTGAATAGCAGCATATGTTTAGAACTCTAGATGCAGTGTTAAGTGTTGGCATACCTTTTTACAGTCTTTTCAGTTTTTGCCCAGTTCTTTATATCAGTATCCAGTTTTCTTAGTAAGATGGCTCACAATTTTTTTTTTGATAATTAAGTTTTTATATACTAAATTTGTTTATTAAGTATCACGTTCATCTAAGTTACGCACTAACTTGCGCCATATAAAACTCAGTTCAACAGCAAAATCACAGTATATTTAAAGGTAGCATATTTATATTCGCTATATTATTTTTTTTTAAACTAGCCACTCGTAAGACCAGCCGCATAATATAGTTATCATAAAAAAGAAGAATGATTTTAATGAGTCAGCTAATATAATTTCATAAAAAATACTGAATACTTCTAATTAAACATGTCATGATTTTAAACATGTTTACTTAAATAAATCATATCAGAAAGTAGTAAAAAACTTTCTCAAGAACTGCGCTTGTTGCTTTTAAAATGCTTAGTTTATTATTCAGTAACCTTCCAGATTAAATATGAAAATATCTTAGGCTTTTCTGAATAGCAACATGGTGACGCGTGGAAGACAAAAGAGTTTTACTTCTAGCAGCGGCAACAGATTGCTTTTACAGAGACGACTTTGTTAATTAAAACTGAGAAATAAATAAATATCTTACATAATTTCACATGTTTGGTTGAAGGACTATGTTTTTAAAAAATTAATGGCTCTAGGTACCGTTGTTTTCTTAAAATGCAAGAAACATACTTAATGCAAAAAACTTCATTATTTAATTTCTTTAAAAATAATGCTGGGCGATAATATTTGACGGCAACAATTTGATAAGGGATATGCTGTTTATAGTGAACCAAAGCAAAGCGTATTATGCTGTAAACTGTAAGAATCATTCACATTTATGAATTTAATTTGAAGTTTAATACTAGGACTGATTTTTGGAGTGGGTTAATGGAAATGCCAGTAACAGATTAAATATATGAACAGAATTAAACTCTCGAAATTATACGTTTTGAAAATTGAGAGTCCTTATATTTGAAAATAAAATATAAAGGCCCTTATAGGTGCTTACTTTTTCTTTAAAGCCTTTATTTTTTTGTTTTTAGTACTTATTTTTTGCTTTTAGTGTATTTTTTTAATGAACACGCATTTTTCCCCCCGTACCAAACCGAAACTAAATAAACAACTTTTCTTCCTTATATGGAACGTCAGATAGGGAATCATACTCCCGGAAATAGCTTTCCCCCCTTTTCTCTGCATTAACGTAACCTATGGTGCGCACGAGAGTACAGACAGGTGCACATCATTCTATTGGTCAAAGAATTGCAAAAACCGTAGAAAATTCCGGTACATTCGGTATTCTTTTCCTCCCACCCAAATACCACACACATTTGAATTTCTATCAAAATAATAAATAAATTATATAATAAAATAATAATTAAAATAATTTTAATAATTTGCATTCTCGTTCCACGTGGTCAGTTCATATTCATGTTTATTATGATCGTTATGCTTATATTATGAGCATATGTATGAATATTTATAATAGTATAGTTGCAGTAGCTGCTGAAGTGTAGATAAACTTCTAAAAATGGGTGTATTTTTACACAGATTAGCTTTGTAAGGAATAATATTCGGAATGGCTTAAATAAAAAGAAAGTAATCGAATAGTCAAAATAATTTCATTTTTTTTTTTTTTTTGCCAATACATTATACATTACGGAGGTTGGGGCATTCTCCCCTTTCACCGCAAAATCTCTAATATTGAAGCAGCGGACTTTTTTTTTTTTTTTTTTTTTTTGTCACTGTCCAATCTGCATTGAGGACTAAAAGTTTCGCGGTCTACCCAACCCAAGCGAAGAATGATTCTATTCCGAAAATTTGACGCAGTCTGTTCAAAATTAGAATCAAAAACATCCCAGATTAGTCTCTTTCTTTTCCTTTATTTAGTTCTTTATTCTCTGAATACCGGCAGCTGTTGATTCCGATTCCGATTGCATAATATCACGTATGGAAGAATTACGCCGCACATATTGCGCAATAACGTTTGCGGTTTTTTGCAGAGATAATTAATTTTGATCTTCAGTCTGAGATTTATTTATGAACACTTAAAAGAGTTTTACTGTGCTTTCTAAGCAGAATATTTCTCAGTTCCGTTGGTCTATTTTTAAATGATGCACAGATCAAAATGTCAAAATCATTTATTTAGCCGAAAAATCTAAAAAACGGCTACAATCTCTCCCCCCTTCCTCTCTTTCCAGTTACGCTCGGCTATACGGAATATTCGGCAATTTCTGAGTATGCTAGTTAGTTAAGCTTTTACTGTTAAAGGATGACTGCATAAAGCAATTTCCCGTCTCCTGATTTCAGAAACGTTCCTTTTTTTTTTACTTAAATTACACTGCTTGGAATATATGTTAAGGGAAAACTGTTATGCTATGAAAATTTAGAAAATGTTCAGAATTTTGATTTAAGTTAAATTATTTAAATATTAATATGAGTGGGAAAATGTATTTATTATTAGGTGCCAAGCAAATACAATCAATATGGCTTATTATTATTTATTTTCTATATTTGAACTGAAATTTCATCATTAAATCTTGTAATATAGTTTAGTTTCTGCATAGTTTTTTTTTTTTCTCTCGTAAATTTTAATTTAAAAAAAAAAAGTTATTGTTTCCATGATTGAGGTTAATGCTCATTCTCTTAATAAATATTGCATTGTTCATATTTTAAATGCAAGTCTAATTTTCTTTTAAGGTTATGCAGTTGTATAATAAATTAGACAGTTCTTATTTTTTTCTTAAAATGTGCTTATAGGTGCTTATTTTTTTAACTAAAATGTGACTATGAACCCTGTTTATAGGAAACTTTTAGGTAATATTCTTATTTGGCCTATATTATTGTATGAAAAGTTTCCATTGGGTTTCTGCATCTCTCAAGAAAACGCTCATTGTTTATGTAAAATAGCTGATTGTTTTCTGTTCGCTTTATATTTTCGCTGATTTGGAAAGTGAATATATAAATAGTTAGATTTTAAGAAAAACATGCTAAAAATGTTAACACAGTGAATGCTTGTTATAACGGTTGCTCTATTGCAATGAACAATATGAAACACCTACAATTGATGACAGTCTAATTTAGGTAAATTTCGCAATAACTATCATTCGTTATAACATATCTTTTCTCTGTGCGATGTAAAAGTTCAAATATTTACATATCAATAGCTTATGAATCATATTGAATAAGATTTTCTTATGAGTTTAAAAAATAATAAAGCAATGAGAGGCCTTTGATATTTTTTCCTCAATTTATATACACAAAAAGATATTTTTATGAGATCATGAGATATAGTAAATAAATGAATTATATAACCAAGTGTTAAAACACGAACTGATGTGTAAAATCTACAATGCCCAAAAGAAGTAGTCATTTTTCCCTTGGCCAACTGACACTTTTCTTATATGACAACATTTGACATGTGGCTGAAGTATAAAATCACTTCCTGAAACTAGAATTTCCGCGAATTCTAGTGGACTTCAGGGGCCTGACTTCCTGTATCGAATTCGAGAGGTCATAGTTCGATTTCGGGCAGGGGCAAGTCTCCTTCTTCCAAAAAATGCTTAATGTCTCTACGACTTGAAAGCTATCCTCCAGAGGGGAATCAAAACTAAAGCATACAGCCTCTTTTTTGGGGGGAGGGGGTATTCAGTGCAACACTGAATTCAGCTGTTATATCTGCTTGCAAGGACCACATATACTATATACACATACATATAAAATGTAGTTCAGCAGGACATTCAAGGGCTCCTTTATGCCTTTGGGCCCCTATGCGACGACATTACGTCATTCCTTGCATACCCTTATTTACGCCACTGTAAGAAAGGTATTTGTGAAACTGTTAAAATATGTTTGCTCTAAAAATGTTTTAGTAGATATGTTTTAAAGACATAGGCATTTGTTACAAGACTTGAGAATGGAGATAAATTCAAATCTTGAGATAGTTGACAAATTTTTAATTAAAAAATGAATTTGCATTAATTAACTATTATGATGAAAGTGCTAATGTAAATGGTGCAGCTGTTTTTTACTGGGCACTAGTAAATTAAAAACAGATGAATTTGGTTTTGGTAATACATGTTATGTCAGAAAAACAAGATTTAAATTTTTCAAGACAAATCATTCCTTTTTAACCCTCTGAGCGGTACGTGTTTTTGGATCTGTCATGAAAACCTGTATTTAAAAAGCCTCTATTAACTAAATATGTATATTTGCCTATTTTAGTTTCTATTTTCATAAATTTGTATTCCTCAAGATGGTATTTGTATTATTGATGAAAGTAAGAAAACAAAATGTCTTAAATTATAAGCTAATATATAACAAGTGACAAAAAATCTCATGACTGGATAAAGCTGATCATGGCACTCAGAGGGTTAAAGATATGCAATATGCAGTATGAGAAAATGCTATAATGAATAAATATCATTACTTTTTCAATGAGTGTGTAGTGAAAAGGAATATTTCTTGTAACATACTTGTCTAAAAAGCTTTATTGCTTAAGTATTATATTAAATCTGTGCTTGTACTCTCATGTAAAGTAGATGTGAGGTATTGATAAAAATCTTCTTTAAATCTTCTTCAGTGAGGTATGGATAAAATCTTCCATCTTTCAAGAATGGATGTAAAATTTTTGATAAACATTGGCATCAAAAGGACAATGATTCATTACTCTTCAGCAGCTGCATTGCACATCCTCATATTGGGAGAGATCTGAAATCTGCAAAAATTGAATTTCTTTCAATGTTATCTCAGTTTTACAAACTAAGAGTAATTCAGAGCTTCAAAAGGCATTATTGTAGAGGAGTGATGAATGAAATTTTGATTGATTAAAAAACTAAAATGCTTGGTGTTATAGATATGTTATTTGTTCTCTGTCTTTTGGATGAAGTTTGGAGATCGGTGATTTGTAGTAGATTTTGTGAAAAATCTTTTCAAACATCTCATGACATTGACAAAACATCACAAATCACCTTTTTATTCACATATTCAAATGATTAATATGAAATATTTTTCATAAAATGGTAAAACAGATGAGTATTCTAGAAAATTTCATTTTGGGGGGATGTTGAAATTGATAACATGATGATGAGAACCCATTCCCACTTCACACTGTTGCCCCTTCATTCTGGGGGGGGGGAATTAAACATTTAGTATGGCAGTATTTGTCATCAGTCCATTCTTTTTCAAAGGCATATATCCTACAGGATCTGCAGGAATGTTCTGACATTGGCCGATATAGGATTTTTTTTTTTTTTTATCAAATCTCATTGTTTCCATTGTGTATGTACGAACAACACTTTTTTTTTGACAAGATGTCATGCTTTCTCACATTACAACATTAGTGAAGCAGCTGGCAAACATACGTTTAAAAAAAGCATTAACTGTCATCATTTTCCAACAAACTGGCTGTCTCAGTCACCTGACTTAAAAACCTTGTGATTTTTGGTTTTCAGTGGCATCTAAAAAATAACTGTGTACATTAGGAACTTGGCTGACTTGAAAGTGCACTTTATGCACCTCATCACATCATCACCACTGATACACTCTGGTTTGTCATGGAACATACTGTTTGGGGCTTTTGACTTTTAGCAGAATGGAGTGAATGCATGTTGAACCTTTCTTGCCTCATTTGTTAGTGCTTGTTTAATGATTTCATTTTCATGATTATTCCATGTATTTTTAAATCATGTATTGTTAATTAAATTGTCATTTCCCTCATCTGACATTGTTGCTGTTTGGTTATCTACATTCCTCTATTTGACCAGTACCGTGCCATTGTTGTTGCATTTTGGATGTATTATTTTTCTTTTGCCAAGCAGTGTTTTATGCTTCTTATATATTCAAGTTATTCTCAACAACACTTCTTACTTTGCAGCATTTTGAAACTGGAAGTTTAATTATAACCTTTTATTCCCTGGAACAAATGGGAAAGTTCTGGAAGAACTATTGCACTTTAAAATTCTCCTGTAGTCTTTCTCTGAAGATCATCTTAATAAAGAAACCTCTAACCCCCAAATTCTAATGAATCAATCACATTTAAAGTTTGAAATTGAACCTTCCATGTATATTAGGAAAGGTCATATTTTTATTATGTTAAAATTTGCATTTGGTTGAGTTATTAATTTCTTTTCTCAAAATAGTGTTGTTTCATAATTTGTGTAGGGAAAGATAATTTTTAACATCTGTGTTTATGTAGATACATATATATAAAAATGTGTATTTCGACATTCCACAAACATATCTTGAAAACTCTTTGAATTTTTTTTTTTCATTTTCTTTTTTTGAAGAATGGTATGTGTGTACAATTCTTCTTGGAGAAAGTTTTAGTATTGCAGATTATACATATTCATGTTTTGCATTAGAGGTAATTGTGTGGAACATCCAACTGCTTAGCCAGTATAGTGATGCTGACTGCTGTGCCAGTGGGCCCGTGTTCGAATTTCGGAGAAGACATCAGAGAGTGCTCAAAATACACAGCTAGCTGTAAGTCATCTTGAGAGATTGGTGGTTGGGAAAGAGGTGTGGGAGGCCCTTGGATCACCTCCAGGAGTGTTCTCCCTCAAAATTAGGGCTGAGCTACCCAGCCAATGTGATGAGACTATAACTGTTGATCAATAATGAAATTCCTGCATACCATACACAGATACCTGTACTTAAGGTGAACATCCATTTTAAAATTTTACATTGAATATTAAAATTATGCTCAAGAGATAATATTTTATTTTGTTTCTTTTCATTACAAATTTAAGTTTTAGAGCATAAAATGAGAATTCCCTTCCCATTTGAAAATTGTGGTTAAAAGATTTACATATAACGAGTTAAAATTGTTTTGGGTTTAGTTGTACGAAACCTGCTAATTATGTATGCAGTTTATTTGAAATAATGATCATCTATCATTGTTCAAAGATTGTAAAAATAAAATATTTCATAGAATGAAAATAAAAAAGAAATTTCATAAAATGAAATTATAGCAAAGCAAAGAAATGACCTTGTGAATATTATCTTTTGAATGATCATTTAATGAGCAAATTCTGTAGTGTTTTTGTATAGTTGCAGGGAGTTCTTTAACTGAGCAGTCATCTGATTCTGCTGTGCCCTTTGAAAATAAATCTTTAGGTAAGATTTTTCAAATTGTAGTTTAAACATATAAAATCTTTTTCCATAATTGAAGGCTTTTGATGAAGTTGTTCTCTTACTATTAAGTTGTTTAACCGTTTTATTTTTCTTATTTCATAATTTTCTTTTTAATGTAGTTTTATGTATGATTTTTTTAAAACTAGTTTTATCGTGGTTGATTTACATATGTAAATTTTCTGTCATTACATGAATAACATTTAAGCAGTTTTAAACTACTTTTATTGTAGTGTACCCACATTTTCTTGTTCTTGATTTAGTTGTTCGTTTTTCATAATTCTTTTTAACTCATTTTTCGCAGAAGAAAGAAAGGAGTATTTTAATCGGGTGAGTATTTTTAATATCAATGACCTTAACATTATGATTTTACATTAGTGAAGATTTCTTTTCCATTTAGTTTGTCAATATAATCATGTTTATGCAATTAATTTATAATATCTGTGTGTTTTAAAATTGTTGTAGTTAAAAATGCTTTTTGAAAATCATAACATAATATTTTTCAGGTAACTTTCAAATTTCTTTTTCTGATTTTAACAGTGTTGGCCAATTTCTGTGCACATATTGACATCAAGGGCCATACAGTTTGCTTTGTTTAGGAAATTTAAGGAATGTACCAATATTTAAGAGTAATATTTATAAATTATTTAAAAAGTTTTTCTTGTATTTATTTCAAATTATCTTTATAAACAATTACTGCAGATATGACAACACTGATAGCAATTAAAATTTTATTTTGAACACTCATTTCAATAAAATATTTGTGCTCTTAAATTTCAAGGCTTAAAATGTTCGTGAAAAATGTTCATGTTCAAAAACATGTTCATGAAAATATTGAGTTTGATCATGCAGAGAACGTTTTCTTCAGTATTAATTTGTAAAGGTAGTATTTTCCAAAATGTCTCCTGAAGATGCTCTTTAGATGGCTTAAAATATGAAAATGTAAGCATATTTGAAAACAGTAATAAATTTCACTAACTTAAAATATCATTTCTTAATCTTAATAGGAATAATTTCCTGTAAGTAAGATTTGTTAAAGTATTATTATTTCATTAGCAAATTGATATCATTTCTTTCAAGCTTAAATATCGTGCTTATTTTAAGAAGTTGGGTCTTATTTTGGTAATTTCATTTTGACCATGAAAGTTGGCTGGGATGCCACAAAACTTGCATCACTGATTTGAGTGGAAGTCCAGAAGAAGAAAGAAATATATATTTATTTCATTAGATACTCAACAGATAAAATTTATGGATATAGCATGTTAAAAACAAAGAAATATGTGCTCAAACTTGTGCCAGTTCCAGCATTTTCTGTTACAGTTTTTCAGGTTGCATTACTGTTGTTTGTCCTTTTTCAAATAAAATCCATATCATGTCCATTATTGCACACTTTTTTTAATACCAGGATCCCATAAGATTGAAAATACTTCACTGAATGCTATTTCATAGAACACATATTCAAAATTTTCATCATTAAATATAAAAGAAAGAGAGAATGGGGTGAAACAAAGAAATAATTGTTAACTCACATCCTTAATTACAAAAAGTAAACTGGGTTATTAAGGATTAATTAAGCTTACATTAAACAAAAGAGAAGATCTTATGAGTATGTTGTGATCTCGCACTTATCCCTTATCAGTGCTAAAGCTTAGTGTTTGGCGGAAACATTTGTTTGTTGAAAATTACATGAATACCAAAAAGTCATATACCTTTTTATCGCTTTTTAAAAGAACTTTAAAAATGTTGTTTTCATGCAAAGAAATAACTTTTATTTTCAGGTGTGTGGTGTATTTTCTGCACGTACGAAGAAAATGTGCACGAAGTCTCCTAAATGTCCACAGCATACAACTGAACAAAAACTGGCAGTTCGTTCTAAGCTTTTGGGACAGTATGTTTATGATAACTTTCTAATAATAATATTTTGCTATAAAATATGTAAAGTGAAACCTTTTTTTATATAAGTTGAATTTTATTCTGGATTAAAAAAAGGATTTTACAGTCAAAAGTCGTTAATCCGGACTCGTCGGGACTTCGGCGATTCCGGATTATCGATTTTTCCGGATTATAGATCATAAGTTTAAAATCTGGTAAATGGCATGCAGAAATTATAAAATTAAAAATATGAAACCGTAATTTACGAAATAAAGACAATTATGATCTAAAGGGTATCAAAATTTACAAAAAAAGCTTAATATTTATTTGTTTACTTTATTAAACATTTCTTCAATGTAAGTTGTTTAAGCTGCTTCATTTTTTTATGTGATAATACATTCACTTAATTCTATAAACAGACATAATTTCTTGTTCAGTTACAAAGTTCCGCTGTTCAAGTCTATAATTGCTGTTCGAGTATACCGACTAATTTGTCAATCGAAATTTTTTCGTTTTCAATAACCTCTGTCACTTTCTTCGCTTCGATCGGAAGCGAATTATATGACGAGGCATTTGATTTAATCATATCAAAGACGAGTACATCGAGAGAAATACTACATTGAGTAAGCAATTATAAGCCAAATAAAATAAAAACATCTGCCCTTAAGATAAGGATAGTGCTGACAATCAACTTCCAATTCATGCACCCCCGCGTTAAAGATAAACAAAGTTTAGATAAACAACAAACGTTAAGTTTAAAAACAAGGATATGCCTTTTATCGATTTTTTTCAGCAATTCCACTTTTGTTTAATGGACTCCGAAAGATACTTTGGCTTTGTATATCCTTTACATATTAGTAAATATATATCGGAAATTCTGTTTGACATAATCGAAAGTTCAAGCTTACTTTTATAAAATTGCTCTAACAGTCTGCAAAAAAATAATAATCCGGATCCAATTCGAAGATTAAGGAACAACGCAATCTGCAACATTAACTGAAATAGATAATTAGATAATTTTAGCTTAGCTTATCCCATCCGTTATACATTAAACGAGCATTCGTAAACATATTTTGCGCACGCGCACACGCAAATTCGCAGCGGTAAAGGTCTTACGCGCATGCGTCAAAGCGACGCATGCGCAGAAAGTTTGTAGCTTTGAGGTCCGGATTATGGGTGTCCGAATTAACGACTTTTGACTGTATATTAATGCACTTCAGCCTGAGCACCATTAGTTGCTCAGAGAAAATCAAGTCTGTTCTCTTGACATTATTAATCATTTGAGAAGTCACAATAGTTGCTTTTGTGGTGATTTGATTTTTTTCAATTCTTCGATGCTGTGAATCTTTGCAGCTTGGTTCTTCACATATTCCCAGCAAAGAAGGTCCAGTAATTTGATGTTTGGAAAACACAGTGGCCACAGAATTGATCAAACTGTACTAATCCAACAATCTGGGAACATTTCATCAAGGAAATCTCATGCATATGTAGCTCATTGACAGAGATTTTATCCTGTTGGAAAAAAAGTTTGGCTGCATTTCTTCTAGTTGCAATACGGCAAACAAATCCAGTATATCAAAATTAATGCTCAAATTAATTCATTGCTCAAAGAAAAAGTAGGAAACAATCACTTGGTTATGAGTTAGTGCACATCAAACGTTAATTTTAGGGCTACCTCGCTCAATTTCCTTTATACAGTACATGTTTTCTGATTCTGAAATCCTGTATTTAAGTTGATTAACCTCTTCCAAAATGTGAAATATTGTTTTGTCTTTTAATATAATTTTCTGAAAAACTGATCAGCATTATTTATACAGTCAAAAATGTCTACCGAATTTTCCTTACTTGATCATTAGTTTTGATTTGCTGACAAATCTGCAATTTATGCACAGTGAGTTTCAACCATTCTAGAACAATTTTATGAACAGTCAACCGGCATAGAGAATGAATTCAATGGGACTCTACACAAACACATCTCAAATATCAGAAACATTTTCATGACTGATTCTTGATCTACCTGCATTTATGCAAAACATGTCTGGTCTCTTGAAACTCTTTTAACCATCTTTTAATTGATTGTTTCATTGGTGGAAGCTTATAAATTCATGTTAGAACCACCTCTGAACAGTTTTTAGATATTTTGTTTCCTATAACCAGAGAATGCACATGGCTTTTTCTTTGCAGGATGCCATTTTATCTGTAAACCAAAAGGTTTCCTGTTGCTATTCCAATTAGAATAAATGAAATTCCTTGACAAAAGATTATATCACTATAAAACATTTCCAGTTCATTAAAATGTTTCAGTTTTATTTTGTTAGCTGGTGATTAAAGTATGGACACGCTATATAAATAATGTGTACTTCTTTAAAAGTGTTTTCGTCTGATAAAATATATACACATCATTTGGACAGATAAAATTTTATGGGAATAATTGTAATGATTTTGAAATTGGAAACATATAGCTTAGTTTCCCTTTTTTTGTCACCATTATATTATGTTCATGTTAGTGGATCATTCATTATCTTTGCCACATAGCAAGTGTTACCATTCCAGGAGAAGGTATTTTATTAATTGTGACTTGACAAATTATGAGTTTTCTGAAATGTCATCATTTGAATTCCATAAAATTTTTAGTGAATTTTTTTGGGCTGCATTTTCTAATATTTCATTCTTTGATAATGCATACACTTGCTATCATTTATAATATATCTTATTGATATTTTGTATAAATATTTAATAATCTAAATTAAAGTTGCCAACTCTCCTGATGTTAGTGAAAGACTCCCAATTTGCAACCATACTCCCGTCAACCTGATTCACAACATATTTCTCTCAACTTTCTCTTATTCTTTAAATTTTTCACAATTTTCATATAGCTTGGCTTTATTATTTGTACCCAAGAAAGTGACTTTTTTCATCTGAAATCACTTGTTATTTCTCTTGATTGCATATAAAAGAAAACCAAAGTCTTTTCATTAGTGAGGTATGGGATGTTTCTACTTTGTTTTTTAAAATCTGAAACATGTGTCCGAAAGTGTCGTGTGCCAATTTTCCAACAAGACTCGAGCATCTGGCATATCTTAGCCCATGAGTACAATGCAAGATCAAGTTTGTTATTTTGTTCATCTCACCAGTGAGTGGTGTGCGTTTTACGTGCTTCCAAGAAAGAGTTTAAGATATTGCGTTATTTTCTCTTAGTAATGTCTGTGAAATAGGTAAAATACTCACGTACTTTTCAAAAATTATTCACAAATGACTTTCCTTCTATTGTTTCATCAAGGAAACGTTCATTTGCAGTGTGTACCTTTGTCGTTGCAGTTTTTTAATTTTGGTGGAAGGGCTGATGTTCAAGAACATGTGCATATACAAAGACAGCGTGAGTTGTATAGAAAAAAAAAAAAAAGCATTTTTCTGTGGAAACAAAGGAAATTCATTATTAAAAATATTTTTTCTTACTATATATTTTTATTATTAAAAAAATCTTTTTGTCACTGAGAAAGTTCTGATTTCTTAAAATATCTCCTGATTTTTGAATGCCATAGGCTGACAAGTATGCTAAACATAGTTTGTAAAAAATGCTTCAAATGCAAGGTTTTATACATTGACTTCCAAAAGTTTAGCATTCAGTGGTAAAATCAAGAAAAAGTAAAAGTAAAGCTTTGGTTAACACATATGAATGTAGCAAATGTGTTTATGCTTGAAATGAAACCAACATTATGTACAAAGATTTTTGTAAATTATAATATGATGTCACATTTATGTCTTTAACAAATTGATTTTTAAATTCCTTTAAAGAACAAACAGACAAACTTATATTAATACAGTAGATGACAACCCTGAACCTTCAAATATCACTTTACTGGGATTGTGTTTCAGTGAGGTGATTATTCAATGCAGATTCTGATAATGGCCATTCCTTCAATAGGACAGTTTACAGCTATCTGAGACTAGTTAAAGGAGGTAAACTTCCAGAGACAGCATTCCCAAGGGCATTTGAAAAATTTTCAGTAGGATTAAGGTTGTTGGAATCTATCGGCTACTTCATATAAGAAATGCTAATCATTCTTCAAGTACTCATTAACCTTTTCTCAACGGTGCATTGTTGTTTAAGACGCTCGTGCGGGACGAGAGAGAATCGAAGGCAGTCACCGTACAGGACAAGGGTTTTGCATCGCTAAGCCTAATTTTATAACAAAAATCAGAAAAACAAAAGTTTCACTTCTAGCATTGTAATTTTTGGTACCATTTTAGATCATTGCTTGACCTCTTATATATGTTAAAATTAGCCCTTAAAACATTTTTTTCTTTATTTTACATGAAAATATACTTAAAAAATTGCTCATCTTCTAAAATAATTTTCAGAAGCGCTATTCAAATTATTCCAATGTTTTAATTGATAAAATCCATCAATAAAGTTTAAAATTAATAAAAAGAACACAATAAAGACTATTTACAATAAGAAGTAACAAAATTAAAAATGAAAACGAGTGGTAAATCTCTAAGCACAGAGAGAAGGATCACTTTGTAACTCTTAGAAAAAATATCACTTTTTAACTCTTTAGAAAATGAATCAGTACTCTCATTTGCATTTGTAAATGGCTCACTAACCATACTAGGGTATTCTTCCTCTGATAAATAGCACCTTCCCGCCATAATAGACTGGAGGTGAGGCTTTCCTAAATAAAAAAGAAGGAACGGAAATATATCTGAAGGCAATGCAAAACGTAAAAAAACTCCGCACAATAACCCTAAAAGACCATACATAGTAGAGGGAAAAAATAGAATAAAAAAAGGAATTGGATATAAATCAGATACAAGAATGTTTTCATTAGCACACAGCGATTTAAAGAGCCCACCTCTGTTTACGCTTTCCCTCCGCCCCCCCCCTCGAACAGCTGATGAGTAAAATACCAAAGTCAAGCAGAATATCAAATTCAAGGTCAGAACCTAAAACTGTGTTCATTTCAAAAGTAATGGACACAGGATGCCATCTAGTGGCCTTCAGAAAAACGTTCC